CGTACGCTCTTTAACATGGCGCAGGTCTCCGGCCTGCATGCGCAGCTTCGTGAGGCGGGGGTGCAGGAGGTCCTCAAGGCGTGTCTTAAGCGCGAGGATCTTCGTGTGGTGGACGCGGCTCGGGGTACCTTGCTGCAACTGGGTGAGCTGACGGACACCGCCGCCACGCGCGCTCTCAAGGTGTCGTGCGCTGACGTGGCGCCGCCAGCGGCGGCGGGGGCCGCAGCCGGCAAGGGCGGCGTCAACGGCAATGACGGTGCCGGTTCCGCCGGCGGCGGCGGCTGGACCGGCCCGCCGCTGTACGACGTGTTTTTGAGCCACAAGCGCACCGACGCGCGTGACTTTGCCCGGGCGCTATGGAACTTGTTGGTCAGTAACGGCTACACGGTATTTTTGGATTTCGAATTCAAGTAAGTGGTTCAGGATGAGGGGGACGCGGAGCGGCGGGGGAGCAGTGAGCAAAATGCTAGGGTTGGGCGGCCAAAAGAGGCCAAGGAGTGCTGGTGCTGGCGCGTTTTTGATTCCGGGCGATGATGAGACGTTCCCCCCACACAATGATGATTACTACTCCCAAAATGCCTATTGCCGTTCGCAAATGTCACACATTTGCTGACCCCCTTTTTTTCCCGCAGCATTGGCGCCCCTCCTCCCCCCCCTCGAGAGCTCCCCCCGGACTTTCTCTTCTTCGTCCGTGTGATGATTTTGCTTTTCCCCTCCCCGCCTCAGGGCTCCTGATAGCTCCCACCAGCATATACATATCGCTGACCCCGCGAGCACCCTCAGAGCCGCACTGCAGCTGCGGAGTCCCTCTACGCACTCCGTTGCTGTCGTACATACACTGCTGCTGTACATACACACCCTCCGCCCTCCACTCTCCACCCTCCCGGCCAGCGTCAGGCCGATCCATGGTGGATCACGGGGATCGATATGTAGCAAATACAAACAGAGACACACACGTGCCAGCATCGCCATCTCCCTCATTGCGGCTTTTAGATGATTTACAAACACGGCGACCCTCCCCCTCCCCCGCCCGGCCCCCTCCCCCGCCCGAACACCGTGCAGGCAAGAGCTGGGGAGCCTTGAGGAGATGGTGGGTCATTGCACCCACTTTTTGTTCATCATGACGGACAACGTGTTCAAGAGCGAGTGGTGTATCAAGGAGCTCGTGGTGGGTGCTTTGGGGGGGAGGGGGGGAGGGGCGAAGAGGTGGCAGAGAAATTCCGGTTTTGAGGAGAGAGGAAGGGGAAGGGAAAGGAAATGTGCTCATGTGCTCATGTGCTCTCTCCAAACCGCCAGCGCTCGTGAATTGCGGTAAAAA